TGTCATGTGTCTGTACAGGAGAAACGCTGCTAAGTCCGTTGGTGATGTGCGGCCCTCACGGACTCAAGTTCCTGAAGCCGGTGGAGCTGCGCTTACCTCACTGTGCGTCCATGACCCCTGATGGTTGGTCTTTTGCTCTAAAATCCTCCGACTCTTCGTCGGGTACGCTGTCCTCTCTCTGTCCTTTTGGGGTCTGTGGGCTGGCTTTGGTGATTAGAGAGGAGATTTTCTGAATCTTTTTTAATCATCTCATCTGTTTTCCATATTCCCCCTCACTTCTTTATCGTGCATGAGTTATTTGGACATTTAAAAAAAACTCTGTCGTTCAATCTAGTAAGGGATTGCTTGACTGATTTGATTAGACAAAGAATTACATTTTTGAGATAAGCAAAACTTAACAATTGCCTCCACCAAGGCTCAACAGTTCCCTCATGAAACCGCATTTAAATTCACTAGATCCGCATTTTTATTTTGAATCTGATTGCACAAATGCATAAACGTGAGTCACTCCTATGTGTTTGATTAACCTCACAGTAGCTGTGATTGTTACTTAAAGGTTCACGAGTCTGCCAGGTAACTTAATGCTCTCATGTGAAGTAGTGATAAAAAAAGAATCTGTCATTATATACACTCAATATTTTTTAGTCACTGTATTGTTTAGGCCTATGCAGGAGTCAGTAACCTTTCTCAGTCAAAGACCCCTTAAATGAATAAATGAAACCTCTGGCTTGTGAAGCACTGTAATAGATCACTCCTCTGCTTGAGCATTACACCCCTGCAACACTGCAGGGTTCAGAATGGACAGTTCTTTTTAAAAAGGATCATAATTAATGCAACAGAACCAGAGATGTTTTCTTCTTCTCTGTTAAAGCCTGACGAGTACATGGCGGTGTAACCCCGTCACTGACAGTTCAGTTGGAGATCATTTCACATTAAGCAGTAATCCTCCCTAAGAACTGCAACCAAACTGATGCATGAAGTTTTTTTTCATATATCTACTTATTCTCTCCTGATTAGTCAGCCAACATCTCCTCCGTGTTGTAATGTAACGTCTCTTTAGTGCTACACAGCATTTTGTTGATGTTCAGTAACCTATTAAAACAGACTCTATAGAGGCCGATCATATGTGTTGGATTCCAGCTCACTCACTGGTGTATAGATTCATGTATGAAATAACTAATGAAGTAACATTCATATTATTAACAATCCATTAAGCATTTAACTCATCTCATGAACTCAAGCAACAGGACTTACATCACATCCTGTCTCCAGATGAGCAGTAAAGGTTCAGTGTGTAATGTTTAGGTGAAAGGGATTTTTCGCAGAAATTGGCTATAAAATAATCCTAGTGATGTTTTCACTGGTGTGTTTCATCTAAACTGTATGAATTGTTGTTTTCTCTACAATAGAATTGACCCTTTATTTTTAAAAACATTATATTTACATGGAGGGGGGGTCCTCTCTGTGGAGGCTGCCATGTTTTTTACAGTCGTCCAAACTGGACAAACTAAAACCTTTTGAGTTTCTATGACAACTGAAGTTCACCACAGGTTTTCTTTCATGTTTGGAAGGAGAAGGTGAGGTGAGGAGCTTTCAGCTGCAACATGCGACTTCACCTCTAGATGTCACTAAATTCTACACACTGAACCTTTAAATCATCATTCGGTCGTAATGATGAATGGAACAATCTCTTGATCTGTTTTGAGCTTCTACTGTTTTCTGTGTTTTAAGATGAAGGTTCTCCAGCGGCTGACGTCACGTCTCTCTTTTTTCCTGCAGGTGATCCCAAAACCTGGCAGAACAAATCTCTCCCTGGAGACCCCAACTACCTGGTGGGTGCAAACTGTGTATCTGTGCTCATTGACCACTTCTGAAGAGGGCGACAGCTGGCCTGTTACTGAATGTGATAAACTGGGGGCCCCCCCGGCCGTGCTCCCTGAAATGTGGCGGGGTGCACAGTGCTCAATGAAGTATAAACTCGGTACTCTCATGTTGTTTACTGTGCCCAAAACTAAAAAAAAAAAAAAAAGACACTCACACAAGGAGAGTCGGAGGAGTCCAGCATCTCCAAGGCTGAACTCTCGTTTTTTTCCTTTTTTCTTTTTCTTTTTTTTTGGTGCTTTCAAGGCTTGCAAAAAATAGAAGATAACATGAAGTTATTTAAACAAAGGAACTGAAGTTGGAATGCATGACCAGTGCACAGACTGAATTATCTCATTTTGACATTTTTAGCTAATTTTGTAAAAGGTTCAGAGCAGTGCAAGAAAAAAAGGAAAATTTTGGAAACTTGTTTAATATTGAAATGAGATTTTTTGCGTACTGTAAGAAAAAAGAAACCCATAACACTCACAAACAGCAAAGTTGGTATATGCAAAACTTTTGTTTGCGAGTTTGTGGTCATGCGTTTCACCCTCGAAGGATCTTGGAGGACTTGAGAAATGCTGAGCCTGACGCACGAAGGAAGAAGAAGTAGGCATCATAAACATAAAAAAATAATAATAATAAAGAATGAAGGTTAAGTATTAGTATCAGATGCCCGTCACTTCTGACGGGGCTCTCTGTTTAAACTGATATTTTGTAGCAAACGTTTTACCGTAGATAAATATACTGACTTGATTTTACAAACTCCTGCTGTCTAGAGATCTATGCATGTGCTATGACTCAGGTCCAGAAGCCTGTTACTACTAAGTTCAACACATGGAAATCCCATCGTACACTGCAAGCAGTGATGCCTTATCTGCATATTAACTTTTCAGTGACACATTCGAACATCGGGTCCTTCGGTTAGAGCGATCACTACAGAAGAAAACTTTGTCTCTGCATTTTCTCATAACCAGTGAACTTGGATTTAGCACACGAGAATAATTGAGGCTGATAAAAAGGTATGCTTTCTTTTACTGCTATGCATATGAAGTCTGAGGAAATACAAAAAGCTAGAAGATGTTTAAAATTGTGGCTGTACATATTGCTAGCATATGGCCTTGGTTCTCTGTAAATTGACTTTTGTACATCTTTGTTATTTTGTATAAAAGAGAAAAGGTTTGTTTAAAAAAGACAAAGCGGTTACATTGGTTATGTTTGTATTCTGGTTATACCTCTGAGCCTTGGAACTGACATAAGCAGTAATAAGTCCGACTTTTTTACCAACATATACACACACTACTTAAGGCATTTTTAACAGTCAGAAAAAGTTTTTATTCTTATTTACAAAATAGAGAAGTGCTTGGTTTAAATGATTTTAAAAGATGTACTTGAGGGGGTCTGCTGTGAAGAGTGGTCCCTTTCTTTATTTGTGATACTGGATGCTGTATTGTGTGCCCTGAAATGTATTTTTGTACTAATAGACAATTTATTATGGCACATCGGTACTATTTTTTTTTGATATAATAACACTGCTTCAACCCAACACTAGTTTATTTTCCTGTGTGGCTGACATTTATTTTTATTTATTTTGATTTGTCTTTGGTTCAACTTTTTTGTTTGTTTTTTTCCTTTGCAACACATTTCTAAGTATACCACTGTATTAATAAATAAATTCATTTTTAAAGTAACTGCTAGTTGGACTCCAGTGTTGTGTTTGAAAGGGGCCATATTCCGAAAAAGTTCTTGTGTTCAAATTTGTAGAAAATTGAAAGAATATTCCCTCAACGGTTATTCACAAAGCATCTCAGCTGGTCAGACAACTTTGTAATTGAGCGGAGCAGGGAGGGGGACTTTAACAAGCTTAAGACTTTAATAATTAAGGGTTATTATATAACTCTGTCAGCTGTTTTTAAATAAATATTGTAGCAATCACCTGTGCATGAAGAATTCCGTGTGCTGCAATCTGCCCCCTCACTTTTAGACTAAAACACAGTCACACACCACCACTGAGACACACACTCCTCACTAGTGCAGAGGGATGCCTCCTATGCCTCTTGTGTTAGCGCTCCAACACCAGGTCCTGATCTTCCTCTTAAAATGTTTTTACACTCGTCAACTGTAAACACTGGTCGTCTGTGGAGTCGAGTTTTGTGCTTCTTTATCTTTATCTAGCAGAGACTGTCCAGCAATCACACATGTTGATGAAAGCTTAGGTATTAAACAGATTGAGTGTTAAAATTAGTAGTAAGGTAAATAAATTAAAAAACTAGGAAGACACTCAGTAGAGCACATACCACATCCAAGGTCCAACCAGCTCATAGATATCAGTTCCCAATCAGTTCTCATTGTTTTTTTTCATCAAGATCCATGAATCATTATCTGGAATCAATGAAAATGTTGAAACACACTCTCTTGCAATTTAAATAGAAAGAAAAGAATTCCTGGTCCCCTGATCCGGATCCACACCTTTTAATATATTCAAAACAAATGTTCATTAGATACCTGAGACTATTTCTACTATCACTACACATTCACTACTATTATCACAAAGATATTTACGTTGTTTGATTATTTACTCACACCGGTTCCAAGAATGTGTCACACCTAGCAACAGACCTGACCACACCCCCTCCCTGACCCAAAACATTCCTAAATCACTCCTGAGCTTGGACTCGAAAAGTTTGGCTCAGTCAAGAGTGTGCTCAGTTTGTGTGTGAGTGCACACACACACACAGCCCCAGATGTTTTACATAGTAACACACCCAGACTGTTTTTTCTGCCAAATGCCATAAAGGATTCCTCTGTGTTCAGAAGTTGGCGACTGTATTAACAGTTTGCAGTGATTGATTTATGTTTGTTCTACCGTTCACAGGTGCTTCATCAACACATTCAACATGTTCATTTAGTGAACTGAGAAAAACTTAAATCCAATGTAGACGATCTTCATTTGAATATGAGGAATCCCATTGGTTTCCTAACTACAACTACACTTAAATGTGACTTCATCCTGTTCAGTGGTAATGTTGAATCAAAAATGTTTTTAAGATTTCCTCTAATCTGCTTAATGAAGTGGGGTTTCAACTAAAAATGTTCAGTTATTTCATTTAAATGTATAATTCAAAATGTAAAAATACAAGTTTTTCTTGAATCAAAAGTTTAATGACACAATCACTAAAATATGAACAATGGAGACATCAACTATGCCCGTCACAAACTCAGCACAGCACATATGTCCGTCAAGGCCTAACTATCCCTGAAACTGAATCAAGCTGCAAGAACATGTACACACTCACAGATGATAGTTCACTAAATATACCTGATTGTTTTCATCAAGATTAATTATTCCCAAGGAAATCAGTGGACCCATAACTGTAAACCATCAAACACAGAGAAACTCCCTCAAACTCCAACATCCAAGGGAAGAAACAAAGTCGTTTTTAAGACATCACCAGAGAGACACCAGAACATTTACTTGTTTGCCGTGTGACCAGACTTGTGACAAAGTCTGAGTATAGTTTTATCTCAAAGGGTCAGTCACACCGTCACATCATACAGCTGCTCTGTTCACATGTGTGCTTACAGGAGCACAGCGGCAGCTTATAGATTAACAACAGGACGAGAGACCCAGACCTTCCTGATATAAGTGTTGGTCACACACACAACCTAGATAGAGCAAAGATAGTGGCTGTGTGTAACATCGGTACAAAGGTGATAAACACACACTGATTGTACAATATGTGATATAATTACGTTTAGTAAGTCATAAAAGCTGACCTTAATTAGTTTTTTAAATATTAGTGTCCTCAGTCTGATGCAAAAAGCTTTAGATAATAGTAAAAATTAGCTTTAAGCAAAAAACAAAGTTAAATTATTAACAGTACAACTGTAGCAGTGATCATATCTATATCGGACTGTCAGCGTCGTAGAATACATTTACAGAGATGAACTGTAGTTGAGTTAATTTAAAAATAAAAGTGTCTCAGATGATAATGATGATGTACCGCTTCAAAGTCAGTCTGCCCCTGAGATTAGTTGACCGCATTAAAAAAGGTCCACGAGTAAACTGTCCAATTTTTTGTAAAGGACGGGTCATGTCCCTGTTAGAGTTTGATATCTTTCGACGCTATCGCTCTGTAGATCTCCTCCGTCAGCGGGACGTAACTCTTTTTCTCAGGATCCAGGAAGTACAGAGGATCTTTGATTTGAGCCGGGTCGAATCCTTCCTGCACCAACTTCACTTTCCTCATCTTGAACGTCCCCGTCATCTCCAGGCAGGGCTGCAACCAAGAAAAAGTGTGGAGGTCAGAAACGTTTCAGTACAGCTTCAGTTTCTGAACAACACATGACCACATCAGTGTGTCAGTGTTTTCCCTGCATTCACTGCTGACTCAATAACTCCACTTCCTGTCCTCATGTGAATTCTGGTTTTCGGGAGAACGTGCATGTGTGATTGCAAATGTCTGCGTGAGAGCCAGAGATTCGGCGAACTTTCTCCACCGAAAGTGGATGTGATATTTGCGGTAGAATTGATACGTTGCATCCTACGTCTGCCTGCTGCACCTTCCCTGACCGCTGAGGAGAATTTGTTGCTGTTGTGAACGAGTCTGAGCAGAGAACCCACTGCTGTGTTGTGCATGTGCGAAAGGAAAACTGTGGAGAAAGTCCGGACCCAGTTCTCCGGGGTTCCTCTGCAGGTCATGTTGAAAGTACCTTTAATGAGCTAGTCTGGTTAGAGGAAGTGATTTGTTACCTGAATTCTGATGAATCGAGGTCTGGCGTATCCTGGGAGGTTGTCGACCACCTGCTTGTAGACGTCGGAGCAGTCAAAATCTTCTCCGGCGTTCAAAGTGACAGCTGCCATGCCGATTCGCCCTTCGTGACCTTATTGTTTGATTCACGTACAGGAAATATTAAAAATACAATGTTTATCTATTTATGATTGTCTTCAACTTCAGAGACACATTTCTACTAGAACAATTTCTGAGTTTTTTTTTTTACCTTTAACCTCAACACCATAGACGTTTGCCTCAAAAATGCAATGAGCCTTTGTGAGATTGTCTGCGACCTCTGATGTGGCAACGTTCTCTCCTTTCCATCTGTAACAAAGGCACAGAGACGTTTTTTCTTCAAATACACAGTTTCTTGAAACACCAGTCTTGCAACTGAGAAAAACTGTTAATACATCTTATTGTGTTGGGTATGAAAAATTAGCTGAGCAATCAAAATTTTCTAAAACAAGTTTTGACCTAAAAAGCTGTAATTATAGGTGAATGCATTGCAGGGGCAATCGCTGTGCTATTACTTTTCTAAGACATTCGTCAAGCAAATCGCAAAAATACCGAAACCTAAATGCATGGGAGTAAAGGTCTCTCGCTCATTTAGAGTGAGTAGTCAAGGGCTCTCGCCCAATTAGAGCAAGTGTGAAAAAAATGACTGAAAACAGCTAACTTTTTGTTAGCTAAAACTGCTCTCAAAGCAACAAATGGAGGTTGTCAGACATGATTTTTAAATCAAAATAAAATAGTGTTTGTTTGCTTCGACATGTGACTATGACATCTCTCGGACCTATACTTTTGGCTGTATCATTTTTTGGAAAAAAGTTTTCTGGTTTCACCTCTCCATTGGATGCCATGTTAATTTGAAAAAAAAAGGTTAGAGAGGAGAACAACAGTCAAACTTTTTGAACTCGCTCCCACAGTCACATTTCTTAACTCTAACCAGTTAAGTTATCAAGAAACCTGTAAGGAGCCTAGATTTTCAAAATAAGCCCATCCCCATAGTAAGAGGATGTTATCAGGAAACCTGTAAGGAGCCTAGATTTTCAAAATAAGCCCCCCCATAGTAAGAGGATGTTATCAGGAAACCCAAAGGGACTAGATTTTCAAAATAGTCAGGAGTGGACTACAGTTCCGCTGCACCCCAGTCGATCAGATGAATGCATGTCGATAACTTCGAAATTAAAGTAGAGACAGTCAGAGAGAAAGGATTTTTCTGTTTTGTGAAATACATTTAGTCCAATCAGGATGATCCTTTGAGAGAAAACAGTAGCAACAAACGGATTGATAAATACGTAATTAGTAGCTACGTGCCTGAAAGTGTCACCGACTCGATCCTGGAAGTACACAAAGTTCTCGTGGTCAAACCGAAGCAGATCCCCCGTGTTGAAGTACATGTCGCCCTTTTTCAAAACATTGTGGAGCCTCTTCTTCTCGTTCTGTTGCTGATTACCAGCGTATCCAATAAAGGGAGACCTCTGAGTTATCTTTCCCACCAAAAGTCCTGTCTCACCTGATAAGGAGATACAGGAACAATGGTCATCACAGTTTCCCATAGAGCCACAGTGAAGTCTTTAAGTTGCAGATCAAGAATCTAAAGGTTTGGTATGAGTGAGTCCACTCACCTCTGGCTGCTTCGATGCACAGACCCTCAGAGTTTCTGACAGGTTCCTCGTTCTCAATGTCAAACTTGATCAGAGTGTAGGGGAAGAAGAACTAAGAAAGAACAAAGACAGCGTACATCGGTTCAAAATGTAAATCAGTGAGAAGTTGGTTTTTGATTTAATAGTTGATTAAGTTTACAGTCTACGGTGATGACGACTTTGGGCACAGGTCTCTTTCGAGCTAAATGCTAATGCTAGTGTGCTCAAAATAAAAAAAGGCTAACCTGCTGATGTTTAGTGGGAATAATTCTCTCTATGTTAAGCTAGCACTAAACATAAAGAACAGCTGATGTTGGGAATGTTGTTTTGCAGGTTTGATTGTTAAAATGAAAAACATAACAAAGGTGTCCAGTATGTAGTGTGGCTCTCAAACAATGTTGACAAGTGGCCCTTGATAAGGAAAGAGTTCAACTCTGTGCTAGATAAAAAGTCAGAGACTACCAGAATCATTACGGTTCATCCTGAGGGGGACATGAATTTCTGGACTAAATTCCACGGTAATCTCTCTGATAGTTGTTGAGACGCTCCATGAAGAGTCAGAGGAAGTTGTTGGGCTTCATCCTCTTGGAGCTTGAATGTCTATTTTGTGTCAATCCCTCCAGTATTGTTAAAAAACATCAGCCTGAGAGACAGACAGACCAACCATCCCTAGAGCCACATGACTACCATGAATGAAAAAACACCACATATGCTCCTTTTATTTACCTTGTGGACAAAATTGACTCGCCCCACCGCTCCGATCTTGGACGTGTAGTTTATGAAGCCGATGTTTCCCTCTGTGGCAGCGTACAACTCTCGGACCTGAATATCACCAAAGCGATTCAGGAACTCTGACCAAATGTCTTCCCGGATTCCGTTTCCGATGGCGATCTTCACTTTGTGGTTCTTCTCGTTGTCCTTCTGCAAACAGTGGCATCACTTCTGATTAGTAAGAGACACAATCGAAACAGGTCATGATATATTTAAGGACGTGCTGGCCTTGGATCTTTGTTACCTTGGGCGTGTTGCAGAGGTAGCGCATTGTTTCACCGATGTACTGCACTACCGTCACGTTATATTTCCGGCAGTCTTCCCAGAACTGAGAGGCAGAGAACTTTCTCTTCAGAACAATGGTCATACCTGCAGCAGACATGACGTTACGCAGATATTACAGCTTTTATCTCACTGCGAACACAATCCCCTTCTTTAAAGCCCAAAACCAGCTGTGTAAATGCTTTTATTCTTCTTCTCATGAGAAGATCAGGAGGATCATCACCTCTCTCAATGGCTCCGGCCAACCCGATAAGGAAGCCTGCACTGTGATACAGAGGAAGATTGATGTAGAAGATGTCGTCTGCTGTGATCCCACACGCTGCCTGGATGAAGGAGGCGGCCCACACCCTCTCATGGGTGACAACCGCTGCTTTAGGTAAACCTGCAAAGGTAAAAGAACAATTACTTAACTCAGGTTTTTCAATGCAACAAATAGAGGTATCTGTTTTTACAGAGATAAACAGGGTTTCAAAACATCCATACAAAGATTAATCCAGTCCTTCAGCGTGATCCACCTCTCTGCTGTTCATTCACAGTACAGGGTATTTTTTCTTTAAAGCTGCACTAATCAATATTTCTTTTTAGAAAATGTGTCTCAACTTTCACTTAATTATTTCTGTTTCAAAACATGTTTTTTTACAATTCACTCTCAGTCCTCTCATATAAGAACAGCAGAAAAAAAACTATAAACCCACTGAGTGTTCCCTGCTTGTGTTGTAAGCAATGACCATGAGTGTCACAGGTTTGGGTTGCACACACAGTTAGTTTCTTTTGGGCTTAAATGGGACAGAAAAATATGACCTGAGCCGCACTCTACTGCACAGCACCAAACAGTCAAAGTTAACAACTACTCGGTGAATGTGGTGGAGCATTCAACAGCTTGAGTGGTCATCAAGAATAGAAAAATATATAAATACACACAATTTACCATTTTCTATTTGGTTAAAGGTCCAGTGTGTAAGATTTAGGTGAAAGGGATCTTTTGGCAGAAATTTAATGCAGAATAATCCTCATGATGTTTTCACTAGTTCATTTCATCTAAATTGTATGAATTGTAGTTTTCTTTACCCCAGTAAAGGCCCTTTATATTCAAATACTTTATATTTACATCAAGGGGGTCCTCTCTACAGAGGCCGCCATGTTTTTTACATTAGTCCAGACTGACACCTTTTGAGACCACACAAACTAGACACCTTTTGAGTTTTTATGACAATTAAAGGCTACCACAGGTTCTTTCTCATGTTTGGAAGGAGAGGGTGAGGTGAGGGGTGTTCAGCTGCAACATGCAATTTTAACACTAGATATCACAAAATTCTACACACTGTACTTTTAAATAGATGCTTTAGATTAATAACAGTGTGTGGGAGGGAATATGTTCTGCTCTAACAATCCAGCATAAGAAACTAGAGTTTCCCTGTGGAGTTTATGACCACTAGTCGAGCTTTGGAGCAGCTTTTTATGATTTTTAGTTTAGTTTGTGTTGAGCACATGGACATGCACATTGTGCAAAAAGAAAAGTAGACGTTTACTTATTTGTTGTGTTTTAAGAGAAGTTTCCGGGTGTACCTGTGGTGCCTGACGTGTAGATGTACAGAGCGGTGCTCTTGATGTTGACATTGGCTCTGAGGTCCCGGGACAGAGGCTGATCTGAGGCCTGGGAGATCTTGTCAGACAAAGAGTTTATGCCCTGGACACGGCAGCTGTCCGACAGGATATACACACTGATCCCCTGCTCCCTGAGCGTCGGTAGAACCTCCTCCACAGCGTCCTGCAGCTCTGCAAATATAGAAAAGTCTTCAGCCCCATGCAATATGTCAGAGCCTTGTGTTGCACAATCATGCACATGCCTGCATCACGTTACCTCGGGCCCCACTGGGATACGAGCACATGGTGTAGGCGGCTCAGCTCAAATGCATTTTTCAGTAGTAAAACTCCATGAGCCATAGTGAGAGTGTGGAAAAACTGGATTCCTGAGAGCAATGGTTCCTTAAATAACCTCAATCTGCAGGAGTGAATGTGGAACTCACAGACCGAGTCCATACAGGACATGAAGTCACTAAAAACTGAACTGTTGAAATATTGACCTGTCCAGGAGATACTGCAACAAGTTGAAATAAATCTGCATATTACATTATCCTCATGTAAAACTTATCAGCTAACAGTGTAAGTACACAGGAATGATACTGGATGAGAGGAATTATTATTACACTCTTTTTACATGTTTGTTGTAAAGCCTTATGGCTGTTGGGATGAAGGACCTTTGAAACCCCTCTGACTTGCACTGTGGGTGCTGCAGTCTGCCACTGAATGAGCTGCTCTGAGTTCCCACATAATTACACACAGGGAACAGATAAATGAATAGATGATAAATGAAAACACACATGTCTTATCTCTGGTGGAACAAAAAGATGTTTCATTCTGAAACGTGGACAAGGGCCCAAATAGACAGATTTTAATAAAAATAATGATAATGATCAGAATCCCCCCCCCCCCCCCCCCCCCCCGGACCCCTGCCCCTCTTTCCTGCGGCCCTGGCACCTGTCTCTCTTACCTGGGCAGGTGATGATGACCTTGGCCCCGGAGCAGGAGAAGCAGTGCAGCAGAGACTTGGACCTGATGTTGAAGTTGAGCAGAGCTGCGGGACACCCCAGTTTGAACAAGCCGAGCCAGACCCACACGAAGCTGGGCTCGTTGGGGAGAAACAGGGCCACCGTGTCCCCCTCCTCCAGCCGGGCTGCAGCCTGCAGGGCTCGGGCCACCTTGTTGCTCCGCTGGTCCACATCTCCGTAAGAAAAGTCTCGACCCTCGAAGCGCAGGAAGATTTTTTCGGGGTGTTTTTGGGCCGCGTCCAGGAAACAGTCCAGGATGCTGTAGAAACTCTTGCTTTTCTTGTACTTGACGAGCCTGGCGCCGAGTTTGAGGCTCCGCAGAATGTACGTCAGGTCCGCGGCCAAGTACGGGAAAAGTGTTGTGATGACCGGGAGGGACAGCAGAGCCAGTCCGGCCAGCACGGTGAACCACAGGTACATTTTGCAGCTCTGTCTGCGAGCTGGGTCATCAGTGTGTGTGTGTGTGTGTGTG